CTTTTTTTTTTTTTTTTTTTTATTGTGCGTGTTTTAGTTTTTTTTTGTATTTGCATTTTTTTTTGTATTTTGCATTTTTTTGTTTTTTCTTTTATTTGTTATATTTTTTACGAACTACGAAATTGGACACTTCGCTTTTTTTGTATTTTTGTTTTTCTCTATATTTTTTTTACCAATTACGAATTTAGGCTTCACTCTTTTTTAATTTCTTTTTGTATTTAAAATTTTTTTTTGTTTTTTTTTTTTATATATTTGTTATTTGTTTACCAATTACGAATTCAGACTTCACTGTTGAATATATTTTTGTTGGTATTATTTGTTTTTTTTTTCTTTATTTATATTTTTAAGTATTTTTTAATTTCATTGAATTAAGGTGATTGAGTGGTGATCTCAGAAAAAAAACAACAATTTCAATTTTCAGTTTTAAAATAAAACATAAAATTAAAGTGTGGATAAATCGTTAGCGATCGTTCGTATCGTTTTATTCTTCCTCATCATCTCGGAACTTATCTTAGCAGCTCGGAAAACTTATTTTGAATTAATTATCACGCGGTTACAGCGCCAGTGAAGAAGATTAATAAAAAAAAAAATTCAAAATGTGCAAAATTGAGCAAATTTATCATATCATGTTTTGTTTTTGTGATACGAGATGGCACACAGGAATACTGCTAAACGACAGCGAGAACAATTCATAAAATTTACACCTGACTCAATAAAAGATGTCGAATTAATTTAAGCCAAAGGTTTTTTGAACAATGTTTTTCTCTTTTTTTATGTTACTGCATTTTATTAATAAGAAACAAACGACAAATTTAAATTATTTATTATTCTCTGGAAAGAAAATATCAATTTTGCTTTATACCGATTTTATAAATTTCCAATACAACTATTTTAATCAAAATCAAATTGTGACCACAATATTGAAGCAATTGCTATAACAGTTACCTAAAATACTGTATATTTTGGCTATTAGCATAAACAATTAAAATTCTAAAGTTGTCTTTTGGCCGTTTTTGAATGCCTTCTGGCCATCTGTGCGACGGAGAGAAAAACCAATAACGCAGTTTTATTATCAACCCCATTGCGAGTGCCGTATCGAATGCAAGTCGTTTTTCGAGAATCGAGTCGTATCGAAAAGTACATTGCCTAAAAATTGGATTTGACTAGTGTATTAAAATGGAAAAACTTGGCAGCACTGGATAGTACGACAATAAGCAATGCCATTGTGGTCGAGTCGTGCATTTTAGTCTAATTTACGACTTGCGCAATGTACTGCTG